AGTTCGTCACCAAGTAGTTCTCCCCCAGGGAGTTCGCCACCAAGTAGCTCATCACCAAGACACGTCACCACCGGGTCAAACAACGAGGTACTTAGCCAAAAAATTTATACATCACAAAAAATGGTACGTGACCAAAAACGGTTACATCAGTTAGGATTAACACAAATAAGCCTAAATATCAAACAGAATCATCATCATCATCTAAAAGCCTTATCCCAATGTTGGGGTTGGCTACATGAATCCTGTTTCACCATTCAATTCTGTTTAGTACCACATCCATTGTTAAATTATAAGTGCTTAAATCATTTCTTACTACTTCAACCCATATCCTTTTTGGTCTGCCCCTAGCCCTTCTTGCCCCTTCAACTTGCAACAGATCACTTCTTCTTACAGGTGTTGTAGATGGTATTCTATGCATGTAACAAAACCATCTCAATCTACTTTCTCTCATTTTTAACACCTATTGGAGCTACTCCTAGCCTCCTAGGTTCCTTCAAATGACTTAATTTGAGCCTATCTTTTCTAGTTTCTCCACTAATCATTCTCAGCATATGTATTTCTGCCACTTTCATTTTTTGGACAAGTTGTTTCTGATTACCCAACACTGCTCCATACAGCATTGCTTGTCTTCCAACCGTTTTATAGAAAATATTTCAACCAAGCAAGAGTGAAGACTTTGGGGTTGCTTGGTAACAGCTGAAGTGGCTCAACTCAGTAATCAATGTAACTTCATTTTCAGCCATTAAGGAACTCACAACCTCTTTAATAACTTATTCACTAAAAGACAAAACAATAAGTCATTCAATTCAGCCATCAGCTGTTATCAAACAGCCCCTTACTAGAGTAAATTGCAAGTATGAGCACCCAATGGAGAATGGTCACAGTTCTTCTGAAAGGAACTCTACTACTCAAGAGATTAGTTTACATTTAGCTAAAGTGGCACTTTATGAGGAGTTCGATTGAAGCAGAGGTTCAATTTGAATAGGGTTATTAAGTCATACAAGATATAACGGAGCTCCACATTACCATTCTCTTCTCCAAAGGCTTCTTTTTTTCTTTTTCTTTTCCTTTTCCTTTTCCTTTTCCTTTTTGTGTTTTCAGCAGAATAAGTGCAGTCACCAAGAAAACTCTTTTGTACAAGCCAGCCCTATTAAGCAATAACTCTATTGAGACAGTGGTTATTCCATCCATGCACCCACTCAATCTTTAGAAGAGGGTCAAGCAAAGGCTTCACATGTTCAACTACATTGCCAGACCTAGAAAATACCAAACCTATATCTTGAACTTTGATTATAAAAAAGCAGATCTTTTAAACACAATTAATACAGGAAATCAACTCAATTGGCATGAAACAGTTTGTGGGCAAACATCAATAACTGATCAAAGAGGAGCATATGTACGGGCATACCTCTGCAAGCCCTCCCGGTGAGCGATGTCGAAGATGACGATAATGTCTACCACCAAATACATCAGACGCAGAGTGCATTTCAAAGGTGGATGGAGAATCCAAACCAGTGATTTGCTCAAAGGGTGCAGCTCGCCTTGCATTACAAGAACGCTATCAAGGCCACCAAATAAAAGTCTCAGAACCTTCAGAACATACATTTTAATAACCATTTAAATATACTCCACAGTCACATACATGAAGTGACAATGTTCCACAAATCCCTCAAAACCAAAATGGTAACCCAAAACTATATCACAGTGACCATCAATGCATGAAAACTGAAAGGAGAGAAATAGCTTCATAGTCCACGATCATCTCATCTTTTAAAGGTGGTTAACAGGGTAAATTGGTTACTAATGGATTGGTTCCCTATAAGAGGTTGGAAATGTAAATCCTTACGGGTCTAACAGATTTATTCTCGACTGAAATCTCATTGTACATGCCGGATCTAATGTGGAGGATTTCTATGCTAGTTGTGATTAAGGAAGTTCTTTAGAAAATTAAAAGTAGCAAATATGATAAGTTAGAAGAACTTTCAAACTAACTAGAACTAAACAGAAAAGAAAGAAATAAAGATGCTCAAGAACACTCCATGAAGGCATGGGCAAGAAAAGAACAAGAATTCCAGTGAGAGAAATGGAAATTTGAAAATCCATTCCAACAAGAAAGAAAGAAAGAACACATTTTGAATAAAGGGAAATGTAAAAAATGGAATTGATAATTTATTAAGTAAACGTAGGCGAGTATTGGAGAAAAGAAAAAGGACACTCAAAAGAAGATCCCAGGAAAGCCCACCCAAGATAATCCATCGACAATAGACAAAAACAGCTAAACCAATTGGTGAATCAAAACCTTCTCCAGAAACAATGGAAAAGGCCATCATTGATTCATAAAGAAACAAAAGGAGATGTTTATGGTAATCCATCACCTGTCCTGTGCTAGAAACAGATAAATAAATTAAAAAAAAAAAAAACGAGCAGGGAAGAGAATGCACGAGAACCCACAAAACCGCAAACAAAAAAATGAATCCCAAGAAATCCCAAAACCCAATTCAAAATTTAAAGATCCCAGAATATCAAAACAACTCCGCCATGGAAAATCCAAAAAAAGCCAAAAATAATAAGAAAAAGAAGAGAAAAAAGGAACACTTTCTAAATGTATATATATTAAAAATAGAAATTATATAATCTCCCAATAACATACAAAATTGCAAATATATCTTAAAATTTATCAAAAAAGGAAAGAATCTATAATGGCGATGATGAAAAAGAAGAGAAAGAACCAATACGGAAGAAAGTTCAATGTGAGAAAAAGCCACAAAACAAAAACGGCAAACACACCTCTCTGTGATTTATCCTCTCCGCATCAACCCTCCCCCTTCCCGCCACTGGCCGTCTCGATACGACACAATCGATGGGGGCAGCATCAGCAGCAAAACCGATCCCAGGAGAGCACCAAACATCAGGAACAACAACGGCTGGAGTTGGGTTCCCCATAGTTGTCGTCGCCGTCACCTGCTGGCCTTTCTTCCTTTGTGGATTAGTATGCTTCTTTTTCCTCACCTTCTTAGCTTGCCAATCTGCCGAAGACCGAATAACCGCCGGTGCCGATACTTGAGCGGAGGACGTACATCCAAGTCCTCTAAATGTCGCAGATGTGAAGTTCTTCTTTTTATTATCCTTCAACGCCGCTGAAGACATGTCTGAACTCTTGTTCTTGTTATTGTTGTTGGTGGAGAATGTGGACAGAAACAGAGAAGAGATGGTGGTTTTACCGCGAGTAGATTGATTGATAGAAGGGATTTGTGGGGTTGGATCTGGTGCTATAATGGATGGACTCCTGGGTCTCCTGAACCTAATCTGCTCAGCCGCTGTGGTGTTCTCTGCAACAACAACCATGATTGAAGAGGAGAGAGAAGAAGAGAAGAGAGAGCAGGAGAGAGACAGTAACAAGAGTGTCTGATTAGTTTGTGGGAGAGGAAATATAGGGGCTGAAGGTGATTTGATGGCGTTTTATTTGGAAATTTGGCTTTCTTACATCCATGTAACCATGTTTGATTCCTCTTTTGTTCTTTTCTTCTTTTTATTATATGGATTATAGGTTATAGATTTCTGGGTGGCCATTCAACAAACAAACTAATGATATTTTCTTTTCTTATTGTGGGTTTAAATTTCATGTAAATTACTTTTGGGTTTTGTGTTAATCATTTTGAAGATTTACTTTTGCTTTTTGTAATTGTTTGATTCTTTCTGTATTCTTTGTGTATTGTGTGGTGGTGAAAGTGCAAGTACTTGGCCTTTTGTCCATCTGCATGTTGGACATTGGAGTGGAACTCAAGTCTTAACTTTTATGGAGAGGAGGAGCTTTAGGGTCTATAAGACTTCCTTGAGAGTTGAGAATTGTGGTTGTGGATTTTCACAACCCATGGACAACCCTAAGTGGGTCCCACTTTTGATGTTCTGGATCCAAAGGTCAGTATGAAAGATCCAAAAATCAATGTGGATCACATCAAAACTGTCATATCTATGCGTTTCGATGGGCCCAAACAGTTGCAATCATGTGATCATGTTTTACTTTGACTTGTTGAGACTTCGTAGGTGTAAAGCATGTGGTGATAGCCCGCCGAATACGTGTATATAATGTTATAATATAGATTTCAATTTCATCATTCATCAACGTTTTAAAACCGTCGTTGACTCGGACGTCGGACCGTTCGGCCCGGATACTGATATTTTTTTTTTTTAACTATTAAATTAGTTGATGACCCATTGACCCAGGTAGTTGAACCGTTGAACTGTGAATATATCCCAAAGAATATAACTGTTCATGATTCCGGTGATTCAAGATCATGCTGGGTTGGTTTTTAGAGTCGATGAGGCGATAACCCAATTGGATTTTTTTTTTTATCAACTCAATTGGATATTTGGGTGGTAGAATAATTGCATAGAAAAATATTATTATCATTATTTTTTGTTGCATAACATAAGCTGCCCTTTTTAAAATTAAAATTAAATTGCTTTCTGGACCGTTTGGTTACGTTGACATAGATTGCTTCAAAGAAGAAAAAGCTAAAAACTAGCTTAGAGCACAAGAAAATTAAGTTGCCACTGACTTGTTGCTTATTGAAATAGCAAAAGCCCATGCCAATAACTTATTTTTTTAATCTCAACGCCAAACACGCCAACATTACAAGAATAAGGAATCTAGACTCTAGAGTATAGTTTAAGAGCATAAATTGTTGAAATTCCAGAGTATAACTAATTATTTTTGGTAAGTATCTAGGTTTGGTCTGGTTGTTCAACCATTTGGATTAAACTGAAGTACTGAACTTGACTGTGTAAGCGATAGATGGATTGAAGCCAATGAATCCATGAAAGAGGTGGTGGGCTTCAGCGGGGTCGGCCCTGTTCTGCTCACATCATAACTTCATAATTTCTAATCCGACCAAGTTAATTAAGTCGAGACTGAGACTGTTTAAGTGAGAAATTAAATGGAGAAAAGTCTACCGACAGCTACTTAATGGAGAAATTAAAGGTTACACTTATCTGAATGACGCAAGATCCAGACTGTGGAAGGAAGGGGACCAGATTAGAATTTGCATTTGTTAATTAATTTCAACGGGATCAACGCTTCTGCTTCTACTTGTTTCTACCTTCAGACTCAAGCCAGTTGTTTATGTGTTGACTTCGATCTTTCGTGCATGAGGTGGAAAAGGAGGATGGATTACAGCACAGGATTAGGATTACTACTAGAGAATTGAGCCTTTTTTTTTAATTAATTTGATAAAGTGTATTATTGGTGTTAGGATTTATATTGGGTAGCGTTTGGTATGTGCGAAGTGACATGGACTTCACAAGGGGTTCTGTTGTGGGTCGTAGAAGTTGGGGAATTGGGTATTTAAAATTTGAATTGGATCTGATCTGTCTAGCTGCTGTTATGGGCGTGAGTGAGTGTGGGGCACTTGGGTGAGTCTGACGAGTCATGACTCATGAGAGAAGAAAAGTGTTTACTCGTTTCTTGGTGGGTGGTGGGTGAGGTTGGTGGAGTGGAACCGTGTTATTACTATTATTTTATTTTATCTCTAAAGCAACACAAATAATTTTACAAAAAGGAAGGAGCAAATTTGACTTCCAGGGCTAGAATTGCTAGATTAATTGAGCCTTTCATTCCGGTTTCAGTTGAGTGATGGAAAGAAAATTAACATGTATTGAAACCATCAAAATGAAATCTTTTGTACAAGTTTTCTTGATGAGCAGAAAATCCCATTTATGAACCTCAATACATATTTTTCAAAAAAAAAAAAAAATCAATACATTTACCAAAAATGTTATTAATGATCCAATGTTGGTCCCAGACTCGTAGTTATTTGAGGATCTTGGTTGAGAACTAAGTGCTAGCTTTTTTTTTTTTCATGTTAAGTCATAGTTTTCGAACTTGAACCCATACTCTCGTGCTTATTAGCTCAAAATTTTACTATTACACCAAATAATTAATGACACTAAGGACACATTCATTCCATCGACTCCTGTTACGCAGCAGCTGCCCTATTTGGGTAAAAATCCGAAAAAGTTGAAAATAGGCTTACATGAGCTGTACAATCAACTTTTCAATGAAGTCTCAAGTCCAGCTCAATTAACACATAAGCCCTCTCAAAAAGGCAGTTAATACCAGTATTTTCAAAATCGGACCAGGTTGAAAAACCGGGAACCGGTCAATTGACAGGTTTTGTTTCATCCCAAAATTGTTTTTGGGCTAAAAGAACCGTCGATTTGGTAAGCGAACCACTAATGAGCAGTCAAACCACTGAACTGTCGAAACATACAATAATTTTTGACCATTTTTTGTTTTTATTTTTTAATTTTTTTTATCAAAACAAGCCATCCATTCGGGCTGGACAGTCAAACCGTTCAACCTAAAAACCGAACCCAAAACAGTTCCCCGTCGGATCCAATTTTAAAAACCTTGGTTAATACCCTCTACTTCTTCAGTGTTATTATTTGATCGGCCTATCATGTTTCTTTTGAGCCATTTCCTCAGTAGTATCTAAATTATAGCATTCTCCAAATCACAAGGGGCTGCCCAAAATAAAAACTATTCTACTATAAAGCTCTTATTTATACCTACTTGTCGATCGATTAATTAGTTAAATTGGAGGCTTCTCCATTTCTCTCCTGATGGATATTAAAAAAATAAAAAAAAAACACTACCGTCTATTATGATTTCAGACTTTAGTTAGGCAATGAGCAATGAAAGCAGAAAAACTGGACCCATAGATAGAATGGTGGTCGAAATTTTTTCAAGATGGACAATTCAGATATCTGTTAGTAAAGACTGGTCTTTGAATTTGGCAGGCAGAAGAAGCTTTTCTTCCTACAGCAGTATTGGTAGGTGGAGTTGGAAATTGAAAACTTAGAATTTAAGAAGGGTCCAATGAACATGGCTGACTGTTGATGGGTTTGGGTCGCAGTGTTTATTATAGCTATTCTCATGGTTGGTGGAAAATTATACACCAACTGATGAATGACGAATTAGAAATTGATAGAAGAAAGAAGAAGAGACATTGTCATGCTTTATTGTAGAAAACAAGTCTTCACTGCAATTGTTCTCTAGTCGTAACTGATGACAAGTTTGATCAGTATTGCCTTTCAATTGTCTGTCTTATTTAAGCAATCTTCTACAAAATTCAGTTTGACATATTTTCCAAGTTTTAACAACGCTTGCACTCATCCTCTGTACGTATGGCTTTGAAAATTTTGTAGTTCTTTTGCGTCCACCAAGGCATTTGACATAATTGAAATGCCAAAGAGAAGTTTGCTTCTTTCTTCTTATTCATATATATGGGGAAAAGAAGTCAAATTGTGGTTCCAATCCAACTTTGTCAATTTTGATTTGTGATGGGATGTTTGAACTTGCAAAGCCCATTCACACGGTGTTTAATGAAGGGGATGTGATGTTATCCGCTCCGAGTAGGAGCCGAGACGGATACGCAGCAGATGATCCTACTGATTTGGACGAGCCAAGTTGGAAGAATGAAGTGATGTACCAGCAGATATGCAATCAAAGCGAATGCCAGAAGCCTGAGGATGTGGTCTCTGGGGAAGGCATTTCGATTCTCAAGTCATTAATATGTGATGTGATCAGTCCGGCTGAACTGTTAAAGATGAAATGGATCGGGCCGAAGAGAAAGATATGAGAGATGCCTTTAAATAACCGAGTGTCGTAGTGCACTTGGACAAATTCCTTGTGGGGTTTAAGGGAAGAGACTGTCCGCCAGGTTTTCAGGAGGCTTTGCTCTCCTCAACGGGGGCGCTTGTCCATGAGAGATTATGCTTTCTTCGAGGTTCTTGCTTGTGGGATTATCCGCCAACTTAGGTATGTGGCATGCTGATCTGCTGATGTGGCCTAAAGAGGTCAATTGGGCCTGGGACATGATAACGTCCATAGCGCAACTTCAACTGGCTGAGGTACGACCCTAACTAGTTGAGGAAAAATCTCCAAGGAATTTCATAAATTTTGTTAAAAACCTTATTCAACTAGTTGAGGGTGCCAATTGCTTGGTTGGTAAGGTCTCTCGCTGGACGTATTAGATTTGGGATCAAATCCACCTATACTAGGGTTGGGGGGTTATGGGTTACCCCATGGAACCTAAAAAATACCCTTATATTTTTCTCTTATTTTTTAGCAAACCAAACGTAGCCTTTTAAGAGGAGTTGCAATATTGATTTTGAACACATCCCATTTATATCTAATGGCGCGCGATCTGGATGCTCTTAGCTGGAAGGTATCTCGGACGTCGGTTGTTTTGCTGGCCAGTCGAACTGTAAGGAAACAATGTTCAAAGAACCTAGGGTAGCTTACTTGGTGTGGGCATTCCGATGCTTAAGTTAGTAATATGGTGTGCGAGATGAAAGCTTGAATGCAAGTAGGCTAGTGAGCAATAAATCGCGCATACTTATATTGTTCAGGTTGAAAGTTTGAATGCAAGTAGGCTAGTGAGCAATAATCTAATAATCTGTCGTATGACTTATGAAACGCCTTCAAGATCCCCGATTTGTGCTACTAAGAATCCATTTCGCTCT